TAGGGAGAAAGACCGGGCTTTCTACTCCTGTAAAGAGTTACAGTGTCAAACTCATTGGGGCAGTTCTACCCTGTCCTATAGGGCCGCTATGACCCAGCGTCCACTCAGTGGGTTTTGGTTGTGTCTTGGGGTTTGGGAGAGGGGCTGAGCATGCTGCAATGCCCCCCCTGCTTTGGATGTGGTCCCTGCACCTGAATTCATGAGCCTGTCATATCACAGCTTGACTGTGATGCTGTGGCAGGGGTGGGGCAGGAGGGTTGTCCTTTCCCCCCAGCTTAGAGATTGCCACCCCCCAACTGTTCTCTTGCAGATTATCAACTTCGGACCAGTTAGAAGATCCGAGAGATGGGGGCCAGGATATAGGGGTGGGGGCTCTGTCTCCCAGGCCCCAGCTGCAGACTTGGGGAGTGTGTACAGAGACCAGAGTAGAGCCCTGACTTGCCAGTTTCCTCTCTCCCAGGGCCCAGCATCTGGCCTCCTATTTGGCTGTAGGAAGGGGTGGTCTCCCTGCCTCCCTCACCCTGGGGTGGCTCCCCCACTCCCAGTTTTATATGAAGAAGTTGGGGAGGGGCTTAAAGTCCCCCTCACGAGTGCCTTCTTGCAGTGACCTGCCTTAGGGGGTGTCGCCTCGAACATGGGGTTGGGGCCCCTCCTCTGACACAGCTGCTGGGCCCAGAGGCCCCACTTGCCTATTCCTCTGAGTTTTAAGATGTCATTAAAAAGATGAGTCTAGTACTGGGTATGTGCTCTGTGTGTGTGTCTGCACACCTGTATTCCTATCCCTGGGGCGCCGGTATGGGAGTGGGCAGTCCTGGGCCGCCTCAGCACCCATCAGGTCTCATCTGGGCCATAGCAGCTCCCCCTGCCTCACTTCCCATTTTTGCTGGTCTCTCTCCTGCACCCCCAGCCTGTTCTCTATGCCCCCGGCCGCCAGAGGGCGCTCGTTGACGCCCAAATCCGCTCCCTTCCTGCCCAGAGGGAAAGCTGAGTCTGCTGCACCGCTGTGCTCATCTTTCTGTTAAGTTTTTTAAAAAGTTCTATTTTTTGTTGTTGAGAATGTGCACAGAACATACAGTTTTGGACTCGATAGAAATAAAGAGAATGACGACCGAATACTAGGACTGTTACGCAAAACTGTATGGGGGGCAAACCGGATAGCCTTGATGAAATGGACAAATGCTTAGAAGCCCTCATCCACCCAAGCTGATTAAAGAGGTGATAAAGTCTCGCCAGACTCACAGAAAGTCGAACCCATGATCAGAAGCGGCCCAGCGACAACAGACATAGTCCTGAGCCAGATTGCTTCCCTGAGGAATGCTACCGAATATTGAATTGACACCAATGCTATTTAAACTCTTCCCCAAGACAAGAGAAGGAAGGGCTATTCCCTAATTCATTTTAGGAAGCAAGCAATCCGAGTACCCCAACCACACATTAAAAAAACAAACAAAAACCCAGCTGCCCCTGTGGGTTTCTGACTCGGTGACTCTACTGGAATAGAAAGCCTCATCTTTCTCCCCAGGAGTGGTTGGGTGGTTTTGAATCGCCGACCTTGCTGTTAGTAGCCCAACCGATGTGTAAATCGCTAGGCCAACAGGACGCCACACAAAGCCACAAGAGCGCTACAGGCCACTGTCCCCACGACCATTCTGTTGGTCCTCTGCATGGGTGGCTCCCTCTCTGGTGTGCGTTCCCATGTGGCTCCCTTACCACCTCCTTCCCCATTCTACTTTAGTTGTGGAGAAGGTGCACAGTCAACCCGAACAGTTTCTGACTCGATAGAAAGAAAGAATTACGAACTAGAACTCATCCTGTTGCATCAGCTGCACAGCCAGCCCAGATCAGGTTCCCAGGCGGTAAGTCTTTCCAGGTGCAGACAGGCCTCGCCTTTCCCTCGCAGAGCAGCTGGTCAGCCCACCTTGTGGTCTAGCAGCCCAACGTTTGCCTGACAGCGCCATCAGGTCATCTGGAAAGATCGAATTA